TCGGCATCTCATTTTTGGCCAAAATTTTTGATGATTTCCCTCCGATACTTCTTGAGAAGTATGCTTATATTGAAAAAAGCGAAAAAAAATTTTTTTGTTTGATTTTTTTCTCATTTTATATTTTCTCAATCGTGCAAGCCAAATTTCCCGGTAGGTCTACATTGTGTGTATATGCATTTTCTTGATTTGAAAGAGCATGGCAAGATGCAGGACATCACAGAGTCCTTTTTTACCCTCAAGCTTTGATTTTATTATATATGCAAACAAATGTTCGAATGGACTGCCACTTTTGGTGCTTTTTTAGAGCATTTTTTGAGACTTTGAACTTACTTGAGGCAATCCAAAAGTAATGAAAGTGACACTTTAATTTCACATAGTAAGTTTGAGAAATCTTTTTCTCCGTATGAAGTGACAGAAAAAAAACAATGCTCTGTCTTTATGTGCTACTTGATAATTCTTCACTTAATATCATAATAATAAAATCCCCATGGAATTTGTTCAGATGTGATTTATAAGGATAAAATTAGTTCATATTGTCTCTATGTACACTCTCGTCTTGATTTTCTCTTTATTCTTTTTTTCTTGTTGTCTCTTTTATAATACCTAACTCTTCACATATATAAAAGTATACAAAAGGAGGGATAATAAAATAAAAGAAATACAAAAACAAATTCAACAAATTTTTATCTCATCAAATGTTCAAAGTATTCACCTTCATTGTCCACAGACAATTGTATTCATTGAATCCGTTTATCGAAGGTTTTCTTGTACTCTGCTTTATTCAAAGAATTCACGAAATTGGTTACAGCACGATGGAATGATTCAGAATGGTTTTGATCGCTCGGATTTTGCTCAATTAAGTTGAATCATCAAAAATCACAGGTTCCCAGATCCGGAAAATTAGGTGGATGAGTGTTATTATGATACCATCTGATTCAAGATAATTAAGCACTTCTTTATGATAATAACAGGCTGCAAACAATTATCGATGTAATATTGATGATCGATAGTTTGAGCATGTTCAACATAATGTATTAAAAGCAGACCAGTTGACTTAAAGAAAATGCGTAACAAGATTCTTGGAACGAAACAACTTCGTCAAACAACTGTAGGCGGAGGATCTCTTCTTGCCACCCAAGCAGTATTTGAAGATTTTCGGTCAGTTTGTTTGTGATAAAACAACGATTCATCACTGGTTACGACATCGCGTAATCTCCTCGTTCCTTGTACAAATTTTGCTAAATTTTCTTTGCATATTCAAACTCGTTCAGCTCGTTGAAGATCGGTCAGCTGTTTAGGTGTATAATGAGCGGTAATTATTTTTAAGTTACAAATGATCAGAGATTATTTGGTGAACGGTGCCATGACTCAAAGTAGTTTCGGTTTGCAATTCTTCTGTTGTAACATAAGGATCATCATTAATAATACTATGAACTTGTTCAATATTTTCAGAAGTTATCTCGGTAAGAGGTCTACCAGGCCGCTCTTTGTCTTCAACCTCTTCTTGCCCTTCACGAAACCATTGAGACCATCTTATAACTGTTTGAAAAGAAGGAGCTTCATCACCGAAAACAGTGTATAGTTCATCATCAATAGTTGTTGCTTCAATATTAAGTGCAGTACGCACTGTAATGTAGAAGAGAAAATTTTCTTTATTCATCTAAAACAGAGATGAATGGTTATAAAACTTAATCTAATTTTATTTCTTCGACTTTCTTAAGGATACAATAATAAACTACACATATACACAAAAAAATGGGACATATGTCTTTGAATATATAAATATCTATATATGTGAAGAGTTAAGTATTAAAAGAGACAAGAAAAAAGAACAAAGAGAAAATCAAGACGAGAGTGCACATAGAAGACAATATGAACTGATTTTATCGTTACATATCACAGCTAAACAAATTTTATGAAAATTTTATTATTATGGCATTAAGTGAAGAATGATCAAATAGCAGAAAAAAATAGAGCATTGTTTTTTCTATTACTCAATACAGAAAGAAAGATTTCTCAAACTTACTATGTAGAATTAAAGTGTCACTCTCACTACTTTTGGACTACCCGAAGTAGTACTACTAGTAGTCAGTCTTGTAGATTTAGATTTTGACTTGAGTTGCAGAACGATATAGAAGTGTGGCATTTGGTGTTGATCGGTTTGAAAGCTTAACTTGAATGAACTACTAATCTTTCAACAAATTATCGAGAATATTGCGAATCAACTTTCACTGAACGTAAACGAGAGAAAGATGATAATGACATTAATCACTTAGCAACAAATAATAATAAAATTCAAAATGAGCGCTTCTCCTTCCAACACTTGACACCATTAGTAAGCAGAGAAAGAAGAGATAAGTCGAACCTACATGAATCTTCTTTCATGTTTTGATGCCTCCTCATTAAAGAATTAATCATATGAAACATGAATTAGAAGGACCACTTAAACATAAAGATCAAGAAATTCAATAAATAAATGAACATCTTGAAACTGAACAAGAACAAGTAACTAATCTTACGAAAAAATATATTAAGAATTATAAAATCGTATTGGAGAATTCGCAAATAAAAGGCAAGAAAAATGGATAAAATGAGTAATCAACTAGAAGAAGCTGGTAATACAGCATCAAATATAAGTTAAAATGAAAAAAAAATATGCAGCAAAATTAGTTAAACTCCGTCGGGATTTAAAAGAAGCTAGGCTTTAATATGAAACAACAACTGCACAATAAAAAAAACATTAAGATGTTGTTAATGATAATATTTATTTTTTAAGGAAATACGGCACAAAATTGAAAGAAAATATTTAAAAAAAAAGATAAAATTGCTGTTGAAAAACTTTTCAAACAACTTCAAAAATAATCTAGTAAGAATTCTAGTTTGGTTCGACCATTTGAAGAAGTTATTTTATCAAAAACTAAAGTTACAGTATCACAACATCTTGCAATTATTATTGTTTATTTTCAAGTTTATTATATTTTCATACTGACATATAAGAGATATTGAAAAATTTCGTCTTAGTTGAAATAAAAGTTTGCAAAACGAAGTTATTGAAAAGGATTGCTGAAATACCAATAGATAGAAAATGATCATATTATTATAAAATAATTCAATTTTACAATGCAACGTTTCGCTGTTGAAGAAAACTTCTTCAGACAAAGCTAAAATGAGTTTATCGATAATGTTGACAATATAGTTGAAAGGAGTAATGACATTGAGTATTCACTCTTGTTCTCTAGTTCATGTTTGATAGTGAGACGGAATATGAAAACTATCCAGTTGTTGCCATTATATATGGAGCCAGTTCACGTTTTTTTGACGACCGACACTGGTACCGGTCTAAATGAGTGAACTGATTAGTATGAAATATTATTAATATCAAGACAAAAACATGCGTCAGCATCCACTCTACCTATGCCCACTCTCTATTACCGGGATATGGACTATGAAATTATAAAAATGGCGAGAGAAACAAGTTCTTACGGTCCGAAAAGTACACAAATATTTAACCGATAGACCGATTGGTTAGCAGTACTGGTTTCATCAATAGTTACCATTGTCGCAGAAGTATCTCAAAGTCGAGAAGAATTTCGATAAAGTTGACCGGATTTTGGAGAGGTTCAACGATCTTTTGGAAATTGCTGAGCAAAGCAAGCTAATAAAACGCTGAAACTTCGCTTGGGAAGAATGAAGATTTTTCAAGATTGGGGGTTAAGTCGTGTCCTAGATCTCCTCTCGGAACACGTCTACATTTCTGTTTCGTTTCCGTATCACTATCAAATATGAACTGAAGATGAAGAATCAATATAGTCAACGTCATTACTCCTTTCAACTATATTTTCAAACCTCTAGATATACTCATTTTAAATGGTGTCGGAAGAAATTTTTTTTTAACAACGAAACGCTACATTGTAACATTTTATTATTTTATAATACTATCAACGACAATGCTTACGAATCGTATTTCTGATGGACACTTCCATGGGTAGTCGACCTCAAAAATACACAAGGTTCTCAAAAGATTTTTTCATCTGTAGAACTTTGTAGAACTCGTTACGGTGCTCATTTTGATTAAAAAAAGTGTTCAAGTTTACTCAGCAAATAACACTGCTAGGATCCAAATATTCGAAAACGGTAACCATCGTTCAGCAGCAGTCAGGAATAGCCGAAATTTTGAAGGATTTTGATCTTAGCATCATGACGTTTATTTGTAAGTTGATATTAATATATCTAAGTGAAGTTTAGTATGAATTTTAACTGTTTAACTCAATCTTGTTACAAACTTTAGCATTTCAATGATTGGTAACATATTATAGAATCTATGCGAAAGATTTTTGTTTTAATCTTTGCCTTTTTCAAAAACTGATAGATCTTTTTGAAATGTATTTCATATATTTTTTTTATTAATTAAGTTTTTTGTCAATGTTAACAGATGTCTCTCAACATCTGTCATTTGCTCTCTTCAGTTTACCAATAAAATTTTTATTCGTTCGTTCGTTCTTTCCAACTACCACTACATGCATTGTTTGCTCAGGTATTTTTATTCATGAAAAAAAAACAACAGAACACAAGCGTCTTTAGTTTCTTCCTTGAAAATAACAAAAATACCGGCTCATTATGTTTTTTTCTCTATAATAGTATGATTATTTTTTTTAACGAAAGAATTGCTAAAATTCTATTGAAACTGATCAGTCTTCGATAAAACTTCCGAGTGGTAAAATTGAATTTCTTCTTTTCTTTTATATTTACAATTGATGATTATATGAACTTACATAACAGAGACTCCATGGAATCAATATCATTTTAGCCATTTCTCAACTTTTATAATGAATTTATTCACTACATTGATATAAGAAAAATAGTTAACCACTAGTTAAAAAGAAAGCGTTTAAAATATCAATGAAATCCTATACGTTCCCTGTTTTAGTCATATACAATATTGCAAACATACTGTTTGTTATATTTCCATTGATTATGCAATTGAAAAAGGTCGATTAAATTTATTTATTTAAAAAATTATACATTTAATTGACAGTTATATATGTATATGATACAGATTGTTAATAGAACTATCTGATCAATGTTGAAGCGATTTTTAGTTTCTTCATAGATGGCTTCTTAATTATCGTAGAATTTTGTTTTTTTCTTGTTGTGACCGTTTCGGCAATAGATGCTGTCACACATACATTAGTTTTTTCTTTTTTTTTCGTTTTTGTTGTTTTCGTGATTTTCTAATGGGTCGGCAAACTGATAATAACTGGTAGAAGTGACGTTATCTTGTCATCTTCTTCCTACCTACTATCAAACCATAAAAGCAACAGAAACGAAAAAAAACAAGATCAAAATTAACGTGTATGTGTTTTAAGTAAGTTATTTTTTACATCAATAAAATCTGAAGAATACAACGTCAAAACAAGAAAAATAAAATTCTACGATAACCAAGAAGTGGTCTATTAAGAAACTAATAATCAATTATGACCTTCCTAAATAAAAAAAAATAATTTAATACTTAAGGGCGACCTTGTTTTAGAATAATCTTCTCATGAGATAGAATTAGTAATTAAACTTAGCGATTTATTTTTAGTAGAAATGTAAGCTGAAAAACAAACATTTTTTACTTATATCTACGTTTCAAAATCAAGCATAATGATATTCGCAAAAAAAAAAACATTTTACCAGAGAATTAAGGGTTGAGTGAAATAATGATATACATAAGCTATTTTATAAAAATTATATATCAGTACTCAATATTATTGAGTTTTTTAGATGCTCAAAAAATTTAATATACTCCCTTTCATTACTACATACGACCCATCATTAGAGCCCGTCAGGTCCAACATTTTCGGACCTAGAGTCCGTTAATCAAATTTTTCCAAAACTTGAGAGTGTGGATGTGACATTTGATATCATAAAAATATTCTTTCTGACTGTTCAAATTAATCTTTACAATTGTTTTTTTTTGAAAGTATCATTTTGTATGAATTTGATAACATTAAAACTCTGATTGGCGCGGATTATAATTTCTAGTAAATGATTCTGGATTGAATGATGAATATAAAAGATATGTCTAGAAATAAAAGATACTATACTAGATAAGATAGGATCGATATGTAGCAAAACATCAATTATTATAAAAGCGTAGGAGAAATAGAAGAAGACATGTACACATTCGGATCATTTACAGTACATTATACTTTATAATATAAATTTTCTACTTATGATAAATTATATTTATGTCATATATCGTACATAGATATTCAAATCCGTTCCTTAAAAATAACCTGAGATTAGTATATTCCGAATATCAATAGAGTATTTTTATTTTCGATACAAAATTTTAATGAATTCCATTGTAATTTCAGGTTGATATAAATATGGCTACATCAATCAGTGACGATCGGAATGAAATTCATTTTCAACGAGGTTCATGCAATATTATTTTAAAACCCGGCGATCTCTTAGATGAAAAGGATGTTGATATACTTGTCATTCCAGTACCAGCAGGTGGATTGAATCCTGATAATTTTCTACTCTTCAAAACTATTTCCTCTAAAGCAGATCAACATTTCAAAAAAGAAATTGATAGAGTTTGCTCTAATTTAACACAGTTAGAACCGCAAACGATTTCGAAAAATGGTCTTCGATATATTTTTGTAGTACCACCATATGTTGGTAATCCCAAGAATGCTTCTGAATATTTAAGAAAAACTTATATTTCATGTCTCAAATTGGCAGTTGAGAATAACTCTCAAAAAATTGCTTTTCCCACTATTGGCTGCGGTAATATTGGATTTAAAATAAACGATGCAGCTCGTAGTGTTTATATGGCTTTGGAAAATTTTTGTCAATCAAATGATGGCAAAAAAATGAATGAAATTCGAATAGTTATTTATGATTCGAAGATATATAACGAATTCACTGGTACTTTCATGGATGTTTGTAGAACCAAAAATATAAAATTTCAACATATACCAATGTATGATCTTGTACTTAGTGTTCTGTACTCTTTTCAATATTTTGATATTGATTCATGCTATCCGTATCATTCTGAAACTGAACTCATTTTAATTCGTATTCTAGATCGACGAAAATTTCAAATCCATCTGAAATGTCCTCGACAAGAGATAAACGTCAAATAACACAACGACAATTACATGGAAATGATACAACAGAGTAATAATCATTATTAATAGATAATAGAATTGATATCGAAAATTTCTTCAATTATGTTCAGTTCGATTTAAAGAACTTTCTGATTTCTAATAGATAAATATCTTTATACGAAACTTAAAAATGATATTACAAATTAAAGATAGAAAAAAATAGAAGTATCCAGAAACATGAGTGTAATTTATTTTTCACATGTTAAAAGCGGTTAATACAGTTCCCGCAAAATTAAAATACGAGACACAATGTAGGTGATGTTGTTAATCACATGAAGACTATTTTATTTTATCTATTTTGAAGTACATTTCTTCAACATTCTTTTACTTTATCCCTTCGAAATGCAATGAGGAGATATCTTGTATATTTCAACATTTCTTTTAGATCGCGTTTCACAAAATTTATTTATTGAGATTCAATAATTAGTATTTTAACCTTCAAAATGCCTTTGAACAAGCGAAAACTATGAGTTCATAAATAAATCTACTCTTATTGAGGAATAAAACAATTCGGTATGTTGTTTTACCAAAAAAAAAAAGAGATTTTAATGTGGCTCGATATTTGTTAACTAAAACATCAGAATAGTATTAAAGATAATTCTTTTTCATTATGATAAAAATCTACATGAAATTTATGTTTGTATTATAGTTATCCCGATGATTTTGATGATGATGCGGATAGACACCAACAAAGTGGTATGACAAGACAAACTTCGAACCTCAATCCGTGAGATAAAAATAAGTGTTTATAAACATATAATTATGCAAAATTTTGTTATATTTAGAGATTCACCAGAATTTCAGCCAAAAACTAATAATAAACAACGTGTTCATCGTCGTTTTCTCCTCAAGAATAATCACACAGAACTCAATATAATTCAAGGAGATATTTTAACAATAAAAGTGGATGCTATTGTCAATGGTTTGCTTTGTTTTTTTTTTAAAAGAAATCATTATCGTTTCATTTTGTTTATCTAGCTGCTAATGAAAGCATGTTGGGTGGCGGTGGAGTTGATGGAGTTGTCCATAGAGCTGCTGGAAAAAACCTTCGAAGAGCTTGTGAAGCTCACAAACAAATTTATTCTGATGTTCGTTTACCAACTGGTCATTCGCGCATTTTGCTTAGTTATGATTTGTCCACAACAACTTACTATATTATCAATACTGCTGGTCCCCGCTATGATGATGCTCCGCCAGATCAATGTAAAAAAGATTTAATTTCGTGCTACAAAACATCATTGGCTTTAGCTAATTTATACGATCTTGAAACTATCGCTTTTACTGCCATTAGTTGTGGTATATTCGGTTATGTAAGTGTATTTTTTTCTTAAATAAATACAATCAATAGTATATTATATATAGCCAATAGATGAAGGTGCTGAAGTTGCACTTGAAACAGTTGATAGTAAAGCTGGTGGCATGCGTAAAATTTGGTTTGTATTAAAGGAAGATGATATTTATGATGCATGGATCAAGAAAGCCGAGGAATTACAGTTCAATTCACTCGATAAAAGTAGTACTGCAGCAACGATACGCACATCAACACAGATACATACAAATAATCAAAAGACGATTGAAAAACCAATTAAAAATAATGAATCGACAGTATCAAGCAAATCACCTGAATTGAATGTGATCGATGCATCGACAGTCAATAATACACAAACAGTACCTAAAGAATCTAAACAAACAAAACAACATGAGAAATCATCACAAAATCAAGATGAAAAATCTAAAAAACAAGCGACTATAGAAAATATAAAAGATGATCACTTATCGAATAAAAATGAACAAACAAACAAAACAAACAGGTATATTATCAATATGGCAGAGTGAATGATATTTGCAATATTTTGTTGTAGAGATCTGTATAAATGAAAAATATCAAATATCTTCAAATGCTTTGACATATGATTATTTTTCACTTATAATATTTCCTAAGATGAAAATTATTACGAATAATATTTCATTCTGCCAGCTACCATAGATCGATATGTCGAGACAGCTAACCAATTATTATTTCAGTGCAATATGTATCCTTATATGATTTTAGTGAAAGATCGAATACCGACAGTCGAGAAGAACAAAAACCATCGGATGATTCTTCTAAGACTAAACCAACTCAAAATACTAATCAAAAAGCAACTTCAAACAAAACAGACAAATCAAAAACGCCAACCGGTGAACCGCATAATAAAAAACAATAGATTATAGAAATGTGATATGATTCTACTACTAACTTATTTTATCTTAATTTATGATTTTTTATTAATTTATAATAATCATGAGTATTTAATATTATGATTTTGAATAAACACAAGAACAAATGATTTTTATTCTATCCTATTTTTCAAAATCATGGTCAATAAAAGAGATGGAATCGGTATTGATAGAATTTTTACACTGATCAATTGTTGATCTTTTGATCAACTATTAATTTAATTAATTTACTTTTCCACTTCTATGAAGCATTAATCTAACATTCTTATTAGTCTTAGTTGTATCTGAAAGGATATACAGTGAATAGAAATTAATTTAGTATTGATCAGATTTACTGTAATCGATTTCATCAAAATTTATCAAGTAGTTTTGAAACATAATGAATGAATAACAGATTGACATTGTTGAGTAAACACTTTTTTTTTTATCACCAAGTTTATAATAAATGAAAACAAATACGAAAAATATATTCACAAAACTACATGCAAAAAGAAATAATAATTAAGAATAATACCGTGAGTAGACGTTATCGGAACCAGTCGTTTTTGGTCTATGTCTCAGTCAAAAATAAAAAAATTGGTTTTGATCCCACCGGAATCGGAACCATCTTGCCCATATCTAATCGTAAGACTGAAGGTGATCTGTCTTGAGAGTATGGGTGTGAGGGTGCAGTGGTTAAAGGATGAGGACGCGAAGTGGTTAGTGAGTGTAAAACTCTTTTCTTCACCGTCATAGCCCAAACGCTTACCTTCACCTCTTCTCATACATCCTCATCATTGGAGTATTTCGTTTTATTTTAATTAACTCATGTCTTGATTAATTTGACGATCAAAATACATTGTTCATCTGTTCACATCATACTAATCATTTACCGTATGCCGTAAATAGGCTGTCTAAATAATACAAAAATTAATTGCTGATTAATGTGTGCCTGTTTAAGGTGTAAAGTGTTTATATCATTTTCTTTGCTTTCAAACAATAATTCAAATACAAGAGCGTGTAGATGTGATCTTTTAAACTTTAAATAAGTTGATTATAATTTATTCTTTTACTATAAAAAGGTATAAGACACTTTAAAACATGCAATAAAAAAAGGACAAGGAAAATGGCATACATGACTAAAAGAATATTGAAAAGAGTCTTTGTATGATGAGATCACTTAGTTGTTGTCCAGACAGTTGTTTGTCGGCTCCATCATACATACGAGTAATTTGCATGCCAGTTTGTTCTTTTTGTCTTCTTTTCCTTTTCCATCTCTCTCATTACGATAGCGATCATCATACTTTCTCTCATTCTTTTTCTTCTAACAAAGAAGAGAAATAAAGATTGTCGTCGTCTTCATTCTTTTTTTTTTTTTTTTTGTACAGAAGAAGACAGAAGACTCGTTCAGTCATTATTCATTTTCTTCCTTATATAGACGTGCTCTTCTAATTTTTACCAGTATTAAATTTACAATAAAATTTTAACATTAGTATTAAATGATGGCATATCGATGAAAGAATTTGGTCAATTTTTTCTTTTCAGTATTATTTTATTTTTACATATAGATTCAGGTAATAATATATTTAAATTTTATTTTATTTTATATTCTTCTTTCTCACATTATTTATATTTAACAACAACAATCATCATAATTGTTTGAAAGATAGAGGTGTGAACGATTTGTCAAAATAGATAAATGAATGTTTAGACTGATAGATTGGATGAACATACACATTTGTACATACGACAGCTGTCTATCGAATCAACAAAGATGTATGCATTCATTCATTTGTCAATTGGATTTGCATTAATCATATGCGCTGCACCATGTGAATTATTATCCATCTGTTCTAAACTTTCATTTCAAAGTTCAATTTCAACTATATATATATATATATATATCTTTTCAGTTATATTCGATATATTTAAGTTATTTTCATTAATTAAATTGAAAAATTCACGCGATCTATACAATATTAGTATCTGTTCAATGAATAATTTCATGTTGATTGTTGCTTAAGTTTTTTTTTATTACTTATTCATTGAGCAGATGTTAGAATATAAGAAAAGCAAAAGAATTCTTTGCCACAGTCATTTCTCTTTTAATTACACTAGCTAATGGCCTTCAGCTCTTTTCTCTTTCTTAGTGATCAATATAGTCATTTATTCTTTTGACTTTCTAAAATGTTATTTTATAATGCAAGAAAAAAAACCCAACAATTTGTGGTACTATTGTTACTATCGTAGATGTGGTATAATCAACTATCTAACCTTGAAAAAATTTCAGATGATTGATCATGCTTTAAAGTATATGCTCATTGTTGACAGTGCTTTCTATTCAATGACGTAACTCCATTTTAATGGATTTACCATATCCTAATGGCAATCTCTATATGGTTTACAATCGATTTTTTCTTCACCTATGAGACAAAGAGAGAGAGCGAGACAGACAACCAATTGAATTTTCTTTTCTTCTTTTAGAATTATAAGACTTCATTTATTTATTTGTATGAATAAAATATAGCATGTCTCATAATGTATAACAACAGACGACAGCTTAGTGCCGAGTGTCATATTAATCAAAGTTTAAAAACATTCATACGCATAGTGATTTCTCCATTGAACATGACAGAACGAGGACGCATGAAAGAAGAGCATAGAGTAATGACATTGAATATCTCGACCTGACTAGGGAGGAGAAAAGAAGGAACTGACCATAGTAATTTTCATGTAATCTTGAAAGTGCTTAATATTTAATTTTATCTATAGCTTGGTCGTTGTGCAAAATGCCTACGGCATGGCTTGGTTTATGGTATCAACGGGGAATGAATTCATTATTAGAGATAACAATCGATCATATCCAAACGAAAGGATTATGTTTAGATGTACTTCCTATACAACAATATTACCTTTTTACTGATCGGTAAATATAAATTATTTATGAGTATTATCTTTTAGCACATATATTCATTATATTAAAAATAAGAGACAAAATTGGTCGTATTATTATAGTATAATGTTATAAGACATTTTCATTGTTAACAATGTGAAATGATGATTTTTCTTTTTAAATAGACCAAATCGTTGTACACGATGTTTAGTATTTATTCAACGACATATCAATCTACTTCAATATCGTGAAAGTATATTTGACTTTCAAGGGAATAGTATTCACTAGAATTTCTATGACTTCATATTATAGGTGAATGTAGTGATGCAGAAGATCTGTCGAGCATTACTTCATGTCCGAATATGATTGCGCCCGATGCCGCATTGTACACACTTCATCGAAGTGAGTATTATGATTATTATGATTAGTTTTTTTGTTGTTTCAACATTAAGTATAGAAATGAGGTCAAAGGTCCATGTGCATAAACGAGCAAAAAAAGAAGATAAAAGAAAAATTTGTTATATCGTGGTATTTTTATGATATTACTCATTTAGACAATTCCAAGCCACAACTATGTCCTATTCAACCACCATTTCTTTTAACAAATTTAATAAAAGATAGTTCCATTTGTTATCAATCAATCTCATCATCATATATAAATGAATGTGCTAATGATAATCAATTTCATCTTTATCTTACTCCATGTTTATCATATCAACCAACTCTTGGTTTGACAAAAATGAACTTTATTTTTGTTTCGTCAAATTTTTCCTTTCTTTCAGATCTTCAATTTATTTGTGTTGGAACATGGATAGAAGATTTTCATACTTATTTCGTTGCTCGCATTCTTTCTCATTCTACAAAACGACAACGTAATCATAAAAACAATCAATATGCATGTTTTGTAATATAAATTCTTATCTTTTTTTTTCTTTTGTTTTATTCGATTCATTTTTATCTTATTATTTTAGCGATTTTTAACTAAACAAAAATCTTCATCATCATTATCACTTAGTGTGGCTACTGATGATTCTTGTCGGGACCTATATTCTAAACATATGTCCACAGTAATGACTCTAACATCAAAAAGTAAAATTTAAAAAGAAAACAATGTTAATTTTTATTGTTTTGTTTGTTTTAATAATTTAGATCGTCAGATAACTAACGAATCAACTCAATATTGTATATTTCCTAATAAATTTCAATCCTATGAATGGTATTCAATTAATGAAACAATACGAATGATTATTAAAAATACGGATATAGAATTAATTGAAATAAATAAACGTTTTCATTGTTATGAAACGATTAATTTAGAGAAATCAATAAGTGTTTATCGAATACAAACATTTACAAATTGGTATTTATTTTTTAAGAGAAAAAAAAAACAATTTTAACTTTTTTTTTTAAAACTCTAGTCATATTAAAGAAGAATGTCTTCGTATAATTCAACGGACAAATAATGTTATCGAACTTTATACATTTACATTATCAAATGAAAAAAATTGTTATAATTTAAATAATGATAATTATAATTTATATTTAACATTTTTTACAAAATCATTTACATTATCAAATCCATGTCCAAATTATATTAATGATTTATTATTTCAATCAAATATTAATTTTGATTTACAAAGAAAGACATTTCATATATCTGTTGATTGTGATAATAAACCAAAATTAACTATTTCACAAAATAAAAAAGGTTTGAAAATAATTTTTTATATTTATTAAAGTTGTTGTACAATAAGACATAAAATTTTAATTATGATCAAAATAAAAAAGAAACATTCGATATTTAGTTTTTAAGATCAAATGTAATCTATGACATGTTTAACAGAAATGTTCATAAAGAAAGAAATAGAAATTCTCATTTAAAAAGTTTTTCATGAACTATTTTTAATTATCAAATATAGTTCGGTTGTTAGACAATCATTTTAACAAGCTATACGAAAAAAAAAAAGAATATAAATCAAGATGAACTAAACATGCACTATAGACTCATAGGACATGTAATGAACATGATGGAAATGCAAAGGAAATGATCAAATAAAAAAAAGGAAATGAATAATAAGAAAGTGGATAAAACTAAATGGAATATATGGAAGAATTAAAAAGTGAAAAAGGCGGATCCCGGATATTGACATTTAATTGAATCTCATTGGATTGAATATGTAAGTTTTAAGATCTAGTAGAATAACTCAAGTGATCTATAAATAATTGCATTCTCACTATTGTCTATTTTTCACTTAATGGAAACATCTTTTTTTTTTCTTTGTGAAAAAAATACCGATTGAAATTTTCAACAAAATTGGACATATCTAATGTTAATTTCACTTTGATTCTTTACAAGTATTATAAATTCTTTTATCATAAACATATGTAAAAATGTTAGTTCATTCAGCTGTCTACCAATTAAAAACTAATTAGTGAATATCTCTCTAACCATATGAGAAAAAATCCGAAAACTTCAGGATAGACTCTACGAGCATGAATCCCATCTATGATGAAATTTTCAGCAAGATCGAACTCAAAAAAACAATTCCTCTTGAAAACCAGTTTTCTAGAGACTCTATCAAGTATTGAAACGAAACCTTTTTGTCTTACTATTATCTAGAGATGTTGAAGAAGGATTTTTATCGTTTGATATTGGTTGTAAACTTTTCATTCGGTTATAAGGACACTTTTTCTTACTCAATTACGTCACTAACGAAAAGTAAATCGGTTGTTTTTGAAAAATCTAAGCATGCTCAGACAAAATTTTGAATAGAGATTTTGTAGTTCCATAAGTTGTCTACAGAATGTACTATTTACCTTTTAGAAATGCTGCTTTAATTTAGAGCATGTTTTTTTAAGAACCCTTCAAAAATTGATCTCAGGCCAGAAACGTTCAAATGAGATGAAATTTACAGTCTGATATCATGATGTTTGAGGGAGATATTAGCCAAACAAGGATAAAAAATGACGAATTTGGCAATCCAAATTTCTCAGTCCAGGTCCATGTGATGTATTTGAATTTTGTTTTGTTTGAAAGAGCATGTCAGAATGTATGACACTACAGAGTCCCTTTTCTTAAACTCTTACTTTTTAAACGAAAAGAAGCAATCACAAGTTTAATGACTGAAAAAAACCCTAAAAAAAAGGCGCTGTTTCTATAGAAATGTTTCTCTATATTATTATAAAAAAGCTTATTTTAAAAAAAATACTCTGTAGTGCCCTGCGTCTTGACATGCTCTTTCCAACAAAAAAAAATTTAAATACATCACATGGATCTGGACTGAGAAATTTGGGTTGCGCATTTGATATATCCTAAACTGAGGAAAAATGGAAAAGGTTTTTGGGTTTTTTTTCAAAAATGGCTTATTTTTCGAATAGGGGGTAACGGAAACCTTCAAAAATTTTTGGAAAAAACGAGATGCTAAGTAAGAATTTTTGTCATTTATAAGAGACCAGGTCACGGACTATCTTTCTCTGCATTTATCTTAATTTCGATGATTCTGACGAAAAGTGATTTTTTTTAGGGGACCTTAAGTAAAATGCATGAAGTGAAAGGCATTGTTCTTCTTTGTGTCGCGTCGGTGACGCTAGGTTTTTTACTGATAACTTCTCTGAACAAAAGTCTCTAGCGTTGATTTTTTTAAGGGTATCTACAGTAACTTAATATACATGTAATATTTAAAAATTAGTTCTAGAAAAGTTCACTAACTCGAGATATACGCGTTTTAGTTTTGTGAAGTCATGTCACTAACGAATGATTTTGCCCACATGATACAATCTGAAAAATATTATAGATATATTTAGAAAAAAAGATGAAAAATAGAGACATGAAAATGATCAATAGTACCTGATTCTATCAATTTATCCCCGGTCTTTCAGGCATAATTCAAACAAAAATGCATATCTCATAGATGAACTGGTGAGTAACGTTGTTACCGTATGAAGATCTTGACTATTTTCGATAACAGAAGATCAAAGAGTCAATCATAACTGATCTGCACAACAAGAGTGAGCAAATTTTGCAAACTAGATGTTAGTCACATGCTTCTAAGGTTCATACGTGTTATGTCAGTGAAAATTGGTGTACAGACCATTTTTCTCCATTCATGTCGGAGAATCATTAATCAGTGAATCTATTGGATTTAAATCCGTTAGATTATAATTTATAGAATAAACTGGCTGAAACTATGAAAACATTTTTGTGAAGAATTTCAAGCAAGAGAAAAATAGAGGAGAAATTTTGAAAATACTAAGAATGACATTATTTATAGACCACTCGCTACAATGTAATTTCTAATAAGTTTTGAAAAATTTTTATTTTCATTTATCTTCGAAATATTATTTTCTTGTTTTGAAATGTCTCTAGATTTTATTCATTCATAATTTTAGATCTTCAACGTCGATCAATAACTGAACTCGATACATGTCTTGCATCTTGGCAATCGAATGATCCATTGACAACATACTTTATTGCTCAATCAAAACATTCAAATACATTTTATTGTCTTGTATGTTGATACTTTTTTTTCTCTCAATTAATTTAATAATTTTTCTTTTTTTAGAGTTTTCAACTGACTAATCAAATTATAATTCGAAATAATAGAAATGATTGTTCATTTGAAAATTATGAAGTTGAAGAATCATTTTCTATGTATTCAGTTTATATAGAAAATTTTTGTTCTCAATCACAAAAATTAATATCAAGATTTATTCTACTATTAATAACAATCGGTTTTTCTATGAGCAATATCAAATAGATATGTCTATATCTAATTATTCATTCCAAACAGTGAATATATATATGGAATTATTCCTAATCATTATACTATATTAAGTAGTTTTATGTTTTCTATGTTATGCAGAAAGATGAAAATTCTTGTTTTTTTATATCTTCAATTTGAGTGTTTAAAAAAAATACAGATTGATCGAAATACATATGAGATCATGAATTTTAATTATGAAACTAAAAGAAAATGATGCACTATAGTTGATTTGTATCAAAGTAATATTTCGATATATAATCTTCTATCACTTATATATGTTAGTGTTCAATCTCAAATTCGAAACTAAGTATATTCGTATTCTATTGTGGAAGGATTGGTTTAGTCCAAAGAATGTATTGAATAAAAACTAGAATAGAAAAATGTAGATGACATTGAATTGCCATTTATGCTAAAACAAATTTCGAATAAGCAAAAAAAAAGTTAATTTATATCTCGATTGTTGAAGTGAGCCGAAAAGAACAAGTACATCCATACTTGCATTCTACTAGAGTTCGGCGGCGGTTCCGAAAATTACTCGGAACCGGAATTGCGGTTCCGGCTTCAGTTCCGATTACTAAAAATGAGATAAGAGCGATTCCGGTTTGGTTTTCAAAATATCATATGGAATCGGAATTGTTAAATCATCAGATAGATATGAAAATTAAAATGTATTTTGTGAAATTTTCACTAATGAGTTTTTGAGATTAACGACCCCATACATTTCAGCACTTAAACAGAACAATATTACATATATACTGAAATCTTTAATCTCAAGAATAAAAAAATGAGAATTTCTCGATATAGATTTAAGAATTTTTGTATTTATCTGATGATTTTATGGCATCAAAGATTATTTTTCCATGATTTCAGTTTTTTTTTAGAATCGCCGAACTTTACACCCTTTGTTGATTTTCATTTGTGTTATTTGCTTGTGATTAAATATTGTATTTTGTTGAAAAACAAAATTTTATATCCCATTCCTTAAGCAAATTTTACATTAGACGTATTGTAACTGATTAATCCGACAATAGCTTGAATTAATGTCCGTCCAATATCGAATCTTCTATTGGATATGTTCATAATGAGAGACTAGATTGGCTTAGATGGATCTGAGGTTGAACGCTAACATATATGAACGATTCCTATGAAGAAGAAAATGAAATTTATTATCGAAAGACGGAAGACAAAAACTTTTCAAAACAACATAAAAATAAAGTATTTTTGCTTGTTTTCATATGTATATATATATTGAAAAATATGTAAATGGTTTAATTATAGTCTATGTTATTTTTTATATTTGTTAATTGCTAAACGTTGTTGAATTTTTGATAATGAAGTAGATTTTGATGAAAATGGTAAACGACTATATCTATTAGAAATATTCCTTTGTTTATTATTTAATGATGGAGATATAGAAAAACTTGTTCGTGATGTTTTCATTGGTTGTGAATGTTGTTGAGCACGATGCAATTGTGAATATGTAACAATTAATGGAGTTTTTCTTCCATTATTATTTTGATCAGTTGATGTCGATAATTCTTTTGTATTATTTATATTATTTACATTTGATAAACGAGGAGAAGATAATGAAAGGTTTTGTGTTGACGATGATGATTGATTTGTTGTCGAACTTCGTGCTAGATATATTAGAAAAATATGAAGAATACTTTTAATAGAATAAATTTTTATAGATTTACCTGTTGAAGGTTGAGAAGGTAAGACTGATCTTGTCTTAGGACTATTGAGATCGATTGGATGTAAAGCCAATAATGAAGCTTCTTCTTGTAAAGCGATGTGAGCTGCTGAAATAGACCATCGAAATTCGATTTCAATTTTTGTTAATGGACTTTTAACAGTTTGTTTCGGTTTTATGTTTGATTTTACACTTGAATTTTGTTCTTGTAATAAATGAGACATTTTTTTTTGACAATAATTCGTTTTAAACATAAAAAAGCAACAATACATCTCATACTTATATAGGTAAGTGTTTGTTTGCGTTCGAAAATGAAGATACGAATCATTCAAAATAATTTTTATGTTTTTATTTCAAACGATAGTCAATAAAATAACAAGAATATTTGAATTATAATTGCTTGACAAGCAAACATCAGATGACTTAATTATAAATGAAAGTAGGAATCTTTTTGATGAAAGAAAAAACCCAATCAAATTTTACATTCTTTGTTCCATCTTAAAATACTAACTATTTTTTATTTGTTGTTCATCTGTACAAAAAAGAACAAATAACAAAATGAAACACACAAACACACGCAAACACACATTGATAAAAATCACAATCGAGAAACACGTGGTAAAGGACGAAGATTCATTGATGATGTCGAACCTGACGATACATCGGTTGCATGTGGATCGCCATCATCATCTTCATAATGCGGAATTCGTAAACTGCTTCGAGCAGCTGAATCTTAAAAATAAGAAAAAAATAAAATAAAACAAAAGTTTTTCTCTTTCATTTGTGAATTTTTTTGAAATATTTCATTTTCATAAATTACCTCCATTTGTAGAAAAATGAACTTGATGAGGACGTACATTTGCTTCGTGATCAGAAGATGATCCATGTTTTTCAACTAATACAAGTGGAATATCTTTTCGTTGTGGTGATCCAGATACATGTCGATGTTTTCTATCAGTATGAGGATCATAAAAATATCTTTTACGACGATTATCAAGATAATTTGTTCGTTCAGTAGCAAGCATAAGTAATGTATCAAATTTATCGGAATCTGATGATCGTTCTGTTGTCAAACGACGTTTTGGAACTTGTAAATTACTTCCCGTATTACCTGATATTGATGATGATGAACGATTACTATGTGAACGATGTAATAATTGATTTGATTGAGGAATTTCATTTAATTCCATATCATCATTATCAACTGTACATTGTGAACATCGACGAGCAACAAGTGCTTTACGATTTGAAGCACCACATTGTATAGAAAATCGAAGTTCTTTCACTAATTCCCACCAAACAGAATGCTAGAAATAGATTTTGTTTTTTTTTCTTTCAGATTCTTTTAATTTATAAAAGATCTATTATTTAAATAATTTAAAAATATGAACAATGAATACTTTTAAGTCTTATGATAACTGTTTTTCTTTTTTTTTTTTGAGTATAATATAAATTTCGGATTATTTACAGATAAATCTATCAGATATATTACGAATAAAGCTCTACAGAATCAGAATTTTTGACTCTAATTCCGAAAATCTTCTAATCAATCTTCTCGCCGTAGCAATCGTGCGATATCCTTATGTTCAGCGTATTAAAAAACTACTGACTATCAAAGAATAATCTATATAACTCTAGTATTCAAGTAATATGTGTATATATAAACTACGAATATAGTAACTTACTCGTCGATTTGCATGATTTTTACGTGCATGCCATAAAAATTCCAGAATAGCAACAAGTAAAGAAAGAAAAACACCGCCTAAATTAATAATAAACAAATAATATGAAATGCTCGATTTTGTTTTTTTTTACTAAGAAGCACCACGAATATTCCACCAACATTTGTTAAATCCAATGGTTTTGGTTTTGGATCTTTTTTTTCTGATGGACATGATCCTTTACCTTTCCACCATTTATCATACGATTGTTGAATCTAGATAAATCATAAAATTTTTTTTATTTTCATTCTCGATTTTCTTTTAATTTATTCTACTTACAATTCCTCTTTCTTGTAGATCAAGAATTACTTCAGAAAATCGCTCACGATATGGACTTCCTATTACAAAATAAAGATTTAAAAAAAAACATATATTTTTTTAGGATAAATCTAACCTTCGGGTAATCCAATTCCATAACCTTTATGATCAAGTAAACCACCAATTGGTGCTAAATGACATTCCCGTTGTACTACATATTCAATTGTTGTTGATTCCATAAGAAATGCATATGATTCAGCTTTAACACGATCGATACCTTCTTGATTTTTACTAACAAATACATCTGGATTACTATTCATATAGTTCCACATGGTTTGATAAGTTGGAATGCTCGATTCCTAATTTTTATTTTCAAAAATAAAATATTATATAAATAAAGAAAAATAGAAAAAAAAAGAATATACTCGAAAAAATTGTTCAGTTGAACCACCTTTAACAACTCCATATTTTATTTTTGTTTGTTTTGTTAAACTTTCAGCACTTTCTATTTCATTAACAAGTTTTTCAACAGTTAAAAATGCAGCTAAAAAAAATATTTTATTTCAATTAGAAAAGACAAAAAAAATAAATGAATAAATTTTTATTATACCTAAGTTAGCAGTATAAGATGATATAAGAATTAATGTAAAAAACCACCATATACCAGATACAAGACGAGTCGAAATAGCCGATGGACTTACATCGGAACCTTTAAAATAAATTGTATTTATGAATTTACTTATATTAAGTTATAGATTACAGCACGAGCACAACTTTTCGTACCCGTTTCCTATAGGTTGCATTACTGTGACTAGGAAGCTGGGGGTCCACGTTTTTGTGGACTTGAACAAAGTTTAAAATGTGGATCCAGATTCGACCGAACCCGAAAAAAAATTAAAAATTTAGACCCGGATCCGATGGGATTCAAACCCAAGGTTTTTTCCATCGACATCTGGCACTCTTCATGTACATGAACAAGTAAAGGATCAAGGTTTCAGCTATTTATTCGCTACTCTCAGAAAAAACTCAACGTACAGTTATATCTTGTTGCTGTATCTCTCGTCTGGGGAACAGTGAGTTCACAAAAACATGTAACTGGGCCCACCAAAAAATAAAAAATTAGATTCGGACCCGAAAAAAAACTAGACAATCCAGTTTTTCTAGGGATTTGATATCTCAACAAAGAATCATTCTTTTCGGCTGAGATTTTTATGATATTCTTATAGTCTCAAGAGCTATCTGTAGACAAAATTCTAGGTCAGAATTTATTTGTTCGACTTTTTCTATAAATACCATACGCAGGATAAAAAATTCAATGAAACAGCCATAACTCCAGATGGATAGCGTATCAAGAGGAATTCTTCTAGGCTTCATATATAATGAGAAGTATTTCATCTCAAATGCGATGTACGCTGTAAGAAAACTGCTTATTGGCATACATATACAAGAAGAGTTATGTTTTCCTCATAGATCAAAGGATACGACAAAAGCCACCAAAACTATCAGAAAGAAAGGAAAAAAAAAACAAAGTAAATCATAAAAATAACTATGTGAAAGAGAATGACAAGGACTAATGATTTGAGGACAATAATGTAACCAATTAACGACATTACACTGCCATAATTTGATGAAAACAAATAGACATTTTCTAACTGATAAACTTTTCCTTAGATAAACTCTTAGGATCTGTAGATAGTCGATTTCTATATAATTTCTTTTTCTTATATTTTTGATGAATCTTTAGTTATCGTACTATGATCTTAAATGGTACATTTCAAAAGTAATTCTACTCACATTCTGTTGACAATTAACTTTGCTTGATAATATCATAAACTTTGCTATGTTCGTTTTTTTCTTATGATAATTGCACGAGATAGCAAATATGAATAGGAAATTCAAGTAATTGAAAGAACACTTCTCTTAAGAGTGTACTACCCCAGGCAGCTAAATAAATAATTTTTGTGAAACTATTAATTTTTTTTGTTTTGTTATAGAATAGAATAATCGAGACTTTCTTTTCTTTTTTAATATATAATAACTTTATTAGAATAAACGTTATTCATATACATATTCTCCTACATTTTAATATAATGTTGTTATATTAAATATAAAGCTAATGCACTTTTATATCTTCGTATTTTTCTTCAAAATAAACGAACATATAAAACAAGAAATAAATAACTCAATAGTATAATAATAATAATAGTACTTATAAAACATAAAATAACTTCAATATATTTATGAACTTATTAAATTAAATATTTCTTTATAATCAACCGATATTCTGTCAGAAAATTAAGACAAAAAAGAATTTTTTATTATTATTTGATTATACCTTGTTGCATTAATGTTCCAATAGAAAACCAAAGTGTGTTACTAACAGTAAAACGATTTTCTAATATATCATATTCTGTATCACATGGATATGGATTACGCCATTCATCAGGTGAACATCGAGCAATTAATAATAGTATAAAACTAACTGTAAATACAGCAGCAAATGTATAAATCTAATAAAGAAAAATTATTGAATTGAATTGAATTGAATTGAATTAAATAAAAATTAATAATTCATACCCATATTTCAAGTGAAAGTGGACTTAAAAAACTGAATAAACCTGCTTTTTCTCGTTTTGGTAATTTAAATAGAATTCCTATACCCAAACTAAGAAATGGTTTGGTAAAATCAATTTGTTTCTCTCGAGCATAATTAACTAATTAAAAAGTAAACAAACAAACAAATCATTCAAATCAAATTATCATTATATATATAAATTTTTTTTTTGTTTTACACATACTAGTTAATGGCGCCACAGCTAAATCAGCTTTCTAATGAATTAAAAGAAAATATAAAAAAATAAAATAAAATAGGAAGAAAAATAATTTTCATACTCTTGTTCTAACTTCATCAACCATATCATCATAACGTAATGTTGTAATAGGTTTTATTTTATAACGAAATTTAATTGCATCTGACAGTTTTTCAAGTAAATCAACACAAAAACCTTCAAAATCATCATTTGTATAATTTTTATTTAACATATCAGTCATGTTTTGATTATTTTTAAACATAATATAAGGAGCTTCCTGAATAGGATTAAAAAAATGATAGATATATATATAGAAATATTTATATTGTAAAAGAAAAATTTTATTTACATACAACAATAGTTGTTACAATTAATGTCGAATTGAATAAACCACCACGTGCTGAAGGTGTTAATGTAAAATTTGCACCATGATCA